CCGCCGGGGGGGGGGGGGGGGGCTGACTCCTGACCCTTTGTGAACACTAGGTGGGCTTGGCACTAAGTTGCTCAGTAGTGGTTTGCATGGACAGAGTGGCCAGAATGGAATGACCACTACTGGAATGTCTGCACTGCAGTGTTTTCTGCTGTTGCTGATTCATTTGTCTCGCCTGACATTATCCATGCTTACCTCCTATTTCTGTTGTTAAAAAACTATTACAAGTCTTACAGTGAAGGAAACTTGGGGTAGCTCTGCTCTGTAACATGCAGATAAACAAACTTCTCCATTTTCCTGTCTCCCATGTGAACTCCAGTGGAAAGGACTTGCCTCTAAGACAGAACCTGTGTACCAGCCGAACATGCACATAGATATAAAAGCCTTGACTGAATTAGTCTTTCAATCCCTCCCGACATTCTGCTTCATCGTAAGTGAAAAGTGTTTAAGATGATGCAAATACAGTACCTCCTCCTGAACTCATCTTTACTATGATGAGGCCTTCTCCAGAACCGAGCTTATCTGCTACTGCGCTGATCACTTCCTTCACAGAGGAAGACACTGGCACCCGGATAGTGGTATAGGTTTGGTCTATACAGTACACCTTAAACAGAACTAAAGAAAAAAAGATTGCACTGTGTGTGCCACGTGTAACAACCACAGAGACTGTACAAATTACTTTCATTTCAGTAACCACTCCTCACAAAGAAACAAATAAAGCAACAATAAATCATGACAGTTTTGATAGCTCCCCATTCCTCAGATGTTCTACAATATGTTTCTGGATAGAAATCTTTCATTTCCCAGAGCTTTTAGTAAACCATGAAGTACTAGTGTTTCAGTATTGCTACATTATTTATGGATACCAATTTAATCTGGCACTTTGTTATGTTCCAGACATTGTAATATTTTAAATCAACACTTCCTTTCAAGAGCCAGGAAAACAGGCTGCAAACTCCCTTAATTACAGGAAAATAATTTTCGTATTTACAAAATAGATTTGAAAATAGTTTTGGGTACAGTCAGAACTTAAATCAAACTGTGTTGCAACCTGGTTTTTACAAGCAAGTATATAACTGCTGAATCAAGAATGCTGTAGACAATAAAGAAAAATACCCTAACAATAAGAATACACTTGAGTGTACAGTACAAATTGGCTCACAGAGTAATACACGAACCCACACCTTTGGCTGCCTAGAAATCAATGATAGTACATTAGCCTGCAAAAAGCAAGGCAGCCCAAAGTGACATGAATTTAAGACAGAAGAAGTTAGCAAAATACTCCTTTAGCTCAGCTGTCAAGCCAAGCCAAGCCAAGCCAAGCAGCCCCTGGGGTTATAGCTGTCCACAGATTTTCAATGTTCAGTGTGATGCCTGCCCTATGAATGAGAAAGGTGCAGACATACGAAAGGGGCAGTTACTGCCTGTCCACACAGACACAAGAAGTAGTACTTGCCTGGCAGCAGCAACTGTTTTGCTCTTTGTAGACCTAGAAGAAACACTGATACGGACAACAGAAGCTGCATGCCTGGCAGGATGTTTGCTGTTCATACGCAGTTACCTCCAGCTATGGAAATGGCTCTTCCGTTGGTTTGATTTATGCCACCAGCTTTCTCAGCTATATTGCATTTTGTTCCCTTGTTTTTACTGTTGTTCACTAGCAAGAGCTATCCTTTAATATCAAACACCTTGAAGCAGAAGCTATCTTCTGTGATGAAGATGCACCAAAACAACCATTGAGAGATTGGCCATAGCAGTTGCAAAGAAATCCTCAGATTTATGAGTTTTAAGGGGCATGTATCTTTGTTTACAATGAACAGATCTCATCAGCAGACCTCAGGATTTTGTTCACATAGTAGTGCTTTAACCTGCCTGAAGTAAAGGACAATATGAAAAGCCAATACAACTGAAAATTATATTCTGATACACTGCTGTAAATTTTCCTTTAATCTCTTCAGAGAATCAAACAATAGCAAGAGGGCAAACCAGCAGATTTTGTTTTCTAGGCTGTGTGCCACGGAGCAGAGATCCATGGCATGATTATCATCTGCTCCACTCCTAGCTCGCAAAGAACAGCTACACGTGTTAGCTCAAACTACGTAGGGGAGACAGAGGCTCAAACATGACCTTCAGCACCCACTATTTATTGCAGTGCCATTACCTGCATAGACACTGTCTGTACTCGTTCTTACCTGTTTTGTTCATTCCCTATTTTAAAGGTTTTCACATCTTCCTCTGAGGAAGCACAGTGTTTGATAGAACAAATAACTAAGGGAAAAGACCAGGAGCACTTCAAACCAATGATGGAGAATGTTGGGATAGCACAAGCAAACAGAGTTTGCTTCAGACCAGGCTTCAAAACTGTAGGTAGGTACTTTTGTTTATTTTTAGACCATTTTTTTGAGAGAGACAAATTTACTGCAAATCTCAGTGGCTGAAGAAGGAACTCACCTTCATCGCTGCCCCTGATAGGCTGGCGTTTCTGTGCTCTGTCATCACTTGTGTTGAACAGCTGCAGAAGAACTTTGTGCTGAAAATGAATCATCAGGATTCACATTAATGCAAAAAGAAACATTATGGGGTAGACATGAACTACAATAGATTTATCAATGGCAGGAAAAAGAGTAGCAATGCAAAATTTGTCACTTAATGTTAAAAGCTATTTCTCAATGTGTTGTTTTAATATATCCATGATTACTAAAGAGAAGATGGATTTGCCGTGCTAAAGCTTTTACTTTAGAAAATGGACAAATAAATTATCTTACCTTCTTTTGTGGTGCTTTAGGTTCTTCAGAACTATAAAAAGGTAAAGCATAGAATATACAATTAAATATTACCTGGAAGATTTTGTGTACAAAATCACCTACAGAACATGGACCACTTGTCAAGCTACAATATCAACATATTCATGTTTGCATATATGAAAAGACTAGATGATACCATAGTTAATCTATGACCAAGGCAGGGAAAATACAATACAAAATCCATGTAAGCATGAAATAAGCATCCAGTTTAGTTTTAATGATGTGTACATAATTTCTTATTCCTTCTGTCAACCTTTTAATGAGAGTTTGGTGTTTGCAAGAATGATGTGGAAAGAGAGGGCCATAGACATTCATCCAAACAAGTTTGCATGCAAACATTCAGTCTTGTATGACTGGGTGCCATTCATAGAATGGATTTTTAATGGATATAAGCAATAAATATTCTTCATCTATTTACTGAGAAAAAGGGCGGGGGGGGGGGAAGAAGTAAAAACTGTGCTTACACTTGCTTTACAATTTTCTCTAGCTCTGGAAGTTGTTCCTTTAGTGCTGCAATCATTCTAGTATCATCTGATACAGATACATAAAATTCCTGTAAATGATACAGAATAGTCTTTAAATAACTATAGGGGTAAATGAACAGTACTCAGGATAGAGGATTATGAGATGACATCTGATAGCTTAATGATTATGAAGAATGATAATCTGCACAGAGGAACACATGCTGGGCCCAACCCTCTATTACTTCTACTTGTTTATCTCCAGCTGATTTAAAGCAAGAGTTACACATGCAGAAGGGCAGCCTGATGAAGCTCCTTAGCTCGCTGTGTAACCACTGACTGCTTGTGCAAAAACTGCATTTTCAGACTATCAAGGATAAAGACTATAAAATTCACAAATATTCTGGCATGATAGTTTTTTTTTACTCACTGCTGTTGTAGTCCTTAGAGGTTCATTTGCTACTGAGTTGTTGACTCTCAGCTACCCCAGTACGCTACAATATTACCCTCTTTTAAACCCTACTCAAACCTCTTCCTGCCACACCTACATAAAACTGACCCAAAGAAGGATCTATGTGCTTGCAACTAGTAATTGTTCTTTAATTTTAACTTCTGGACTAACGCAAGACATTATGTCTCTCTCCAAAGCCTGTCTATTGTGAAAAGTTTTCCCATGTGGGCTTGCTATATGTCTGTCATACTTAAGGCCCCTCTCTATTCCCCTCTGCTAACTCTTACCTTAGATTCAGTTTTAAGCTCTTTGGGGCAAGAATTTCCATTCAGCCAACAACGTATGGCATTGTGTTCCATAAAAACAATACATAATAATAACAGCAATCACAGAAACTTAACATGACATTGGCAGTGCATTTTATCATAGAAATACAAGGATATGGCACTTATCACAAAGACCTTACAACCAATGTCTGAGGAATTAAATGATTTTAAGGGATCAGAAGGGTTCTGAAGACAAAGATCTTAAGTTCCAATAGCTGCAGTACAGCTTTCATTCAAATGGAAAGGATTTTGGTTTTGTAGAGTGAGAACGCTCCAGCTCCTTGCTGGCACACCTCAGGCACGCATAAACAGCCCCCCAGTTCAAACTGTAGAGCCTCTGAACTGTTCACAAAAAAATACTAAAAAAAGCAAATTCATCTATTGCGATAAAGCAATCTACCCATGCAGAGCTTTGAAAGGGGTCTGCAACTTCAGCAGATATTTTCAGAGGTCCAGAGGTTGACAATGGTTCAAGCACTGTTGTAGTGTGCATACTGCCTGCAGCTAAAACTGAGAAAACAGAGTTATGAGTTTGCACTTTGAAATAACCTACTTCTCTTTAGTTCATAACAGAATTCTACAGACCAGGAACAGTGAGCTTTCAGCTTATCTTGCTTGGTAGGTACTTTTCAGTACAATAATACAATGATTCCTTTATACCTCCAAAAAGGCCATTGCTGCTTCATCTTCTTGTAGTAAATCTCCATATAAAGCAGCCCACTGCAGAACCAGTCGAATGACTCGCCTTTTATTGTTGAGGGCATAATCCATTTTCTCCTGCTCTGTACCCTGGGAAGGCTGGGCATGATAGGTGCCACGGTGTCAAGGAAAATGCTCAGTGATTGAAAATATCAAAACCAGTATGCATTCACAAACAACTGACTTCTAGCAAACCATTTTCAGGGTGTGCAAACATAACTTCCCAATACATACTTTTGATTTCTGACTGCCGCTAGCATAAAGACTTGCGAACCTTTCATGTTCATACTAAAAAGTAAAAAGACAGTGAATTCTCTAAAGAGCACAGGAATGATCACAATCCCACCACAGAGACGGTTGCTGTAGGGGAGCAGAACAGAAATGACACTTGGAACAATACAGAAGAGGATTAACCGTGGAGACTGAAGAAGGATATTTCTCCTTGTTCTTCTTTGGAGACAGCTGAAGAAAAAGAAAAATGTCACTTTGTGTTTATTAACAATTCCAGTCTTCCATTTGTGAGGAAGACTACTGGAATGAACCACCAGTGTTATTCCTTTTATTTTTAGAAGTTACTGTAACCTAAGGTGAACCTCAGTCCCATTATGGTAGCGGAACCTGGAAGTTTACAGCCTAGACTGACTACAGAGACATGGAGTAAAATAATAAATTCTGTAGTAGCCTCATTTTACATATGAGGAAATCAGAAGTTTCTACTCTATCAAATAAAGCATATTTGGGACACAATACTTTGTGATAGTTATTTTGTGATAAACAATAAGAAAAAATGGGAAACATTTCATTGACCTTTTTCATGATGAATTGTCAACATTACAAAAATATGCAAATAGCAAAAAGGCCAAAAGTAACATTTATCGAAAGGAAAAAACCAAGAAAAAAGTAAAGGCACAATGGGCAATAAACTGGGATAATTTCAGCCTTTAACCTATGCAAAAATGAAGACAAATCCCCAGCAGAAACAGGATATGACAATTTGTGTGCCTACTTCTCACTGATCAGAGGTTAACAATATATATTTAAACTGTTTCCCAATAAACTGATGGCTAAATGTGAAGTAAGCACAGAATGAGTGCAGTTACATCTTCAACTTTTCTTCCTGGATACCAAAATTCTGATTCTGGACTGTCATGAATAACACTATTCCCAATTATATAGCAATTTAGTATTAAAATACTGACACACTTTCACTCACAGCGAAGTCCAGCATCCTTTCAAGGTGCGCTTTCAGTTGCTCTAACAAAAGATTTTAAAATATTAATTAGAAAATTAAAATATTAATTAGAAATCAAAATTATCTAAGATATTTATTTTAAGCGTCTCATTTAGAAGCATTTCTCTAACAAATACTAATAAAATATAACGGGAAAAAGTATCTATTAACTCACACTTTCCAAATGATCCTCCTGCCCAAAACCCCCTGCAGAGATTTGACGTGCTACAAGGGTTACTGGGGCGCTCATTTGATTGATAAACTTTTAGAAATCTGCATTTTAATTTCATTTGGAAAGGTTTAAAATGACTAGAGAACTAAACATGTCAGTACATTTATGGGAGTAAATAAATCAAAGGGTCGTAAGAAGTAAATAATATATTGTAAGCTATGTGCTGTAATGTCTCAGGGAGCAAGTCAATTCTACTGAGTCATTTTTCTCATGCCATTTTTACCTTTCAAACACTGTAATTATTTCATGTATTTGTACTTTCTTATTAACTGACTCACCACAGGCACTCGTAATTTTTCTGTATTTTTACTGCTCATTTATATTAATTGCTCTTTTATTAACATTATCACAGGGAAAGTCAATGAAGGGTTCTCCCATTTTTACGGGACCTACAGGATGCAGCTTCACTGCAGACTGCAATCAGAAGTAAAATATCATGTATACTAACATGGTTAGAGTTCAATATATATATTTCTAATTATGTCTAGCATATGCTAGGAAATGGAAGCAATTCAGAAGTCTCTTCTTCCCTGTGTGGGAACACTTAACCATATCAGGAGCTGTGCAAAATCAGCACTCATTACTACAGTAGAACGCAAAACATTTTGCTGGCGTGATGGTAAAGGAGGTTCACAAAACATTCACACAGAAACATGCTAAAGGACTATCACCTACAGAGAGCAAAGGAGGAGTTTATTTTATTTTATTTTGTCCCGAAACCAAGACAATAAGTATTTAGACAGCGGTCCTTTAAAGATGCACACCTGCACACACGCTCACACACTTGCACTATCCCAAGTGAACTTTTGGAGGTGCTACTTGATTTCAAGTTTTCTTTTGGGCTTTGTCCTGCCTCCCTCTGACAAGCTGTAGCTCTGAGAATTTGTCCATTTCCATCTCTGTGAAGAAGAGAGGGAAACAGGGGCCTTGGTCCAACACACAGAACTAATGTCCTGATCCAGGACAGCGGAGCATGCTCTTTGCTTCCCTATGAAAAAGAAGTATGTGATTTTTTTCTTAATATTGCAGGATCCATATACTTTAATGACTAAAAAAGAGTGGTGTGCCAAGGGACAGCACAGTATAAGCACTGAATCTGCAGCAGGCAATAATGTTACTTAGCCAAAATGGTGCACCCGTCCATTCCTTTCAGAATTAAAGAACTTACAGAAGACAAAACGCTGCTGTAAAAGAAGTGAAAACCCAAATAATTTGTAGCCTGTACTATGCTTGAAAGCACTACAGTGGTCTAGCTCTACTCATACTTGCATGCTGCCAGCTAAAATAGTACCCTAAGTGGGTGCAGGAAAATAGACTTGTATTGATTCAAAATTGGGAGCTGGAGTAAAAACAGTGTCTCTGACTCAATCACCTTTCTTCTTTTTCTGTTTTAATTTCCTCACTGAGCATAACTAATCTCTTCTTAGACTCACAGCACAGGCAAACATTTTTGTAGAGTGAATTCAGCTCTAGGAAAAGCTGACACTAAAGCAGTGGGATACCAGTTACTTCCAGCCCTCCTCCTCCTCTCTGAAAAGAATTAGCGTGATGCCTGCCATGACCCACTTAAGACCATGGTCTTAGCCTCCTCTCCAGAATAGATTTCATCACCAGTGAATATGTATACATAAGTGACACGATCACTTTGATCTTCAGAAAAGCTTTTCCCCTATAATCAGGTACATTTTGCTTATGCATCTGATTTTCCCAGTTACTGGATATCAGAGGTATACTATTATAACTGAGGATAGACAAGCCTGAGTCTCAAATGGACTGATTGAATAATATCAGCTAGATAAATCAGAAAAAAAAAACCCCACCATAAAAAGTGCTGCCCTTTTCTTCACCTTGCAAAGCTGTCAGCAACAGCATTTCATAATACTTTTGATATCCAAAACTATGTGGTTTTGGAAAATGAGTTTGTTTCAGGTGTACGAACAATTTTCTGCAGACCAGTTTTATGGGTCCAAAGGTTTTCAAAACAATTACTGTCCTTGCTAGGAGTAACACAAATGGATTCTCAAGCTTGCCAGACAAGGACACGATGCTCTATTTTGTGATTTCAGGGTGTTAGCTTTCCCAGATGTCACTCGCCCCGCTGAGCTTCAAGTAAAGCACACTTTCATACCAATCTGATTCTAAAAAACATAAATACGGAATTGAAGTTATTATACCCCGTCAGAATTCTGTAAAACAGAAAACATTATATGTTTATTTAATGCTCCTAGTCACTTGATAGCTTCAAGTCACTGTGCACAACGAAAACTCAACAGCTCCCCAAACTAAATGACTTGCCAGTAACTGACTGATGGACGTTTCACAGACTCCTCCTGTAAAACATGCAGACAGTACGAGAATCACCTCCAGCTCTCGATGCTATCCACTGTAAGCTTTCATCTCCTGGGTATTTGCATGCAATTGAAGTTTCCTGCAGTTTGTTAACATAGACTATTATTATAGATTATTATTATTTTTATTAGTAACTATTATGACAGCACCTAGGAACTACTTACTCATTATTTTACCGGTTTAGGCACCCTTTTGCTTGAGGCAGTTTGCAGCTTGTAATCTATAAAGTGGACCTTTGAAATCACCAAAACATAATGATCTTAACGTTAAAATCTAGATGCTGTAGTTCAGCAAAAACCAAGAAAGACAGAAAGGATACAGGAAGGGTAATCCAAACTTTTATGTAATTTCACTTATCTGGTGGAGGGACAGTACATTTCTTTCCCTTGGAATAGTAATCAGCACAGGAAAGATACAGTTTTCATGCTCCAGGACTGTATCTCATCATGGGTATACGCTATCCATTTCAGAGCTGTTGAGCTATGGACAGCTGTTAGTCAGACACTGAGAACCCACCCACAAGGCACAGCCTCCATGAGACATGATGTATTTCTTGAGAGAGAGAAGCTTCAGTCTCATCACCGATAGGAACAGCTGTTAAAGGGATGTAACTTTTCCCTTACAAAAGGATATTGTGCCATCAAGGTTGGGCAGAGCTGACTATTTGGCATAAAAACACAGTGCATCATAATAAAATCATTTAAAACAGAATCTGTGAAAAGAGAAGAAAGGAAACAGTCAATTAAGCCCCTGCAAATAGCTTGGGGATCACAAGGATGAGTTTTCTTTCAGCTAAAATATCTTATTAGCCCTCTGCAGATAATAAAGGGGTCTTCTTGCATTTTGTTTGTAGGCATTAAGTATGAAAATGCGGAATGAACCAATATGAGCTGAAATATTAAGCTTTTATTCTTGTCTGCATTAATTTTATTGCACTTATGCTAACAGGCATTTGCCTGTGTCAAAGGGAAATTTGGCACAGCAAAAAAAACCCCATGTGTGCTAAAGTGAAATGTTTAAATGTTTGGATATACTTCTCTACAAGTGTAGAGGTCTTAGCATAAGAAGAATCAGGCCTGCCACACCTGGGTGCCTAAGAAATGCTGCTGCATTTGTCTTTAGGGAACTACAATACCAGACAGCACATTTAGTATATGCTACACAGGAGAAAGCAAATAATTTAATTCCTTTCTGATTTCCTAGCAATGAGCAGAAGGCCTAAAAGAGGTAAAAGGACAGTCAAATATCTGGTGTTATTTTGATTCAAAAGTATCACAGCTGCTACATTTACATTAAAAGATATATGAACAATATGATTGACATTTTCTCTGGCAAAAAATAGCAAGATTTTTTTCTGTTAAAATGATCTGTGGTAGCTCTGGTGTAAATCCCAGTTTGCTTTATCTTTGTATTTGTGACAACAAGAAAGATTTATAAAGCCTGGCTGCAGAGGCCAGAATAATTTTGGCAGTGAGAATAAACTTTATTTTACTTTTAAACTATGCAAGTCTTATACGGAATCATTGAGAAACAATAAACACAATACCCTGGGGTATCATTTCGACAGTGCAACTTTGGAGGTAAGAGAAACATTTAAAAACTATGTAAGTAAGGGATGTCAGAAAAAATATGGTGAGATAACTGTGTAACGTAATATTACATCATTGCTTCCGCTGTAATTCATACATGAAAATATCTCTCAGTTGACAAAACTCACCTCTGGAAGGGTGGGACTTTTTCTTTGCATAATATCCAGATTTTAACTGTTCTTAAATTAAAGGAATGCATAAACTAAAAATTTGATTTTCCAGCACTCTGAACTTCTATATCCTAAAAATAGCTTTGCTTGTGAATTGTGACATTTTGTATCCCATTAGGATATAGGTATAATCTTGTCATTGGATGTTTTGGGGAAAAGTTTTAAAAGATTTAAAAAATAATTCATTTTAGAAAAAGGTATAATACATGCATACTATGAATAGTAAACTTGTGATTATATACTTGCAGGCTTAAAGAACAATGTTCTGCTTGTAATCCTAATAAACAGGTATCTATGAAAAGGATAAATTTTTTTCTTAAAAATGGTTAAAGCACACAGTGTAAAAGGATTTCTGTAATCTTTCAATTCTTCCACCATTTATGGTCCACTATACAGGTTTCTCCAATACTATGAGGTTAGTAACAGATTAACTGGATTTAAGAACACCTTTGAATATATACTTCTTAGACATCTGCAATGTAAAAAGAACTTGCTAAAGCAATATTATGTAGCTTAATATAAAGGTCTCTGCATTACTTTATCACAATTAGGAGGAATTTTTTGTGCCTGACTCTTTTTAAAATAATAGTAAGTCACCAAATACCTATATCCCTAGATGTAAATTCTCTGTTCTCTTTACATTAATGAAAAGCAGCCTGTTAAGTGCAGCTGCAGCAACCTGCATTCTTGGGACTTGGCCCATGATGTGCTGAGTTCTTCTCTTTTGAGTAACAATTCTTCAATCCCTGCACATGGGAAAGTATCACAAACAAGTAATTTAAACTGTGATACTTTAAATGTGATATGGATATGAAAATTAGGGAATACTTATACTAGCATAACGCAATGGCTGGACGTATCAAGCCAGTTCACATTAAGTGACATCCAGAACAAGAACTATGAGTACCATTATCATCGGGTGCTAATGCATGCTCTGTCCTAGCCTAATTGAAGTTGTGCCTAATTAAAGTCATGACTAGTGGTCTGGCACCTTTTGAGATTTTGCTGTTCTACTCTGAACTGAAAGTACAAATACAACAGAGCAGGCTAGGAGGAGTGGATTGTCATCTTTAATTCTGGATTTCCTAGGTTTTCTGGGGGTTGTTTCAGAGCAGTGGATAGTTCTTATTCTGGGAAAAACTACCACTAGCTGCTTTTCAAAGCATCACATTGCGGTGTTCCCCCAGCAAGACCATCTTATGCAGTAATAACAACACAGCCTTCGTCATGTAGATACCTGTTGCTTCATTTAAAGTTGCTTCAGGGCGCATAGTTTCTAGAAAATGCTCTAAAATTTTCTCTGGGGTTCCTGACATCACGATATACCTGAGGGAGGGAAAGGAGCAGTTAAGTGTCTCATCGGCAAAACAGCTAATCAAGAAACAGTTGTGTACCAGTGAGAAGACCAGGACTGACGAGTGCCAGGGTACAAATACCTGCTCTGACCAGAATCTCTGTGTGGCTTAGGACAAAACCACTCACAATCTTTGTTGGCTTCCCCCCTGTAAAATGGGAGCAATAAATCTCTCCACCCTACCCAGGGGGTATGAGATGACAGACAGCCCCCTCCCCGCACAAGTACTCCAGTATAACACCACCACAGTTACACCGCAATCAGCAGAGCTGCACTGGTGCAAACCTGGGGAAGTGCAATCAGAAATGCTTCTCCACTGAGGATAAAGATCCCAGTATTGATAGCAATTCGCAGTCATTAGAGGGTCTTAACAGACTTACTATGAGCAAGAAATGAGAACTGATGTGTGTCAGTGTCAGAGCAAGGAAACAATTTCCTTCAGCATCACTGACAGGGGTTGGTCTGAGAAGACGGGGGCAGATAATGAAATAGCACACTGTATCTTCAAATTTGTGCAATGCCTTAGGTAGCTGAAGTAAGTAAGTTTTTCAAGTGGATAAACTTAGGATTGTACCATTTCCTGGAGTAAATTTAGGGAGGTGAGAGAACTAGTGCAATAGTCAGGTTTTTCTGCTTCATGCAAAAACACTGGCAAGATTTTAAGTACCAGCAGAGTATCATAGGATATTGCTAAACTTGTCCTGTAGTCTTTTTTTTCTTTCCTTGCAGATCGGATTTTTTTATCTTTCCCTCCTTTCTTTCAATCTTTGCATCTTTTTTTCTTTTTTTTGGAATCCAACTGATAAAGTATGAAACTTTAAAAAAAAAAAAAAAAAAGAACGAAAAAACCCCGAGAAGTGAAGATACTCTGCTCCTGCTGAGAAATAAGTGGTGGAGCTGAGCTCCTGGGAGCTCCTCCTCACTTTGAGTACTGACCGTCACAGTTCTTTTACCTGCCAACCCCTTTGGAAGAACTGTATTGATGTCCCAAGAACACAAACACTTGTTAAGCCAGTGCACATTCTTGCAGAGATACTAACCAAGAATCTAAGTGAGTGAAGCAGAGAAATCACAGGTTGCTGTACTCTGAATATGAAAGTGAAAATGAACAGTGAAGTGACTTGCAGGGCTGCTGAATTCATCCTACATGAGTGTGATCACCCATAAAGAGTTAGATCTTGGGAGTGAGAACTTCAGAGCTAGTCCTTCGAAGCAAAACTGTCACTGTTTGAAAGCATGGCTCAGGGAGCTACGTAGGAGCTCTGCCTCCTCAGCAGAGGAGGCAGTAGAATACAAACTGCAACTGCGAGGATCTGCTCCCAAAGTGAAGTTTTCCCCAAGACTAAGATGAAGAAAATGAGTTTCTTGGTTGACTGAGTATCTCAGGGAACACCTTTGGGATGCAGAACATTTCTCTAGTGCAAATGCTATGTACCTGCTTAGGGAGCAAAGCCCGAAGGGCAGCTCATCTGAAGAGATATCAGAGATATAAGCTACCCAATTAAGAGCAAAGCAGCAAGCATTTAAGAAGAGGTCCCTGTTAAGCTTCTTTTCTGGCCACAGTGATTTTCAAAATTACTAAACACTCAACTAACACATTCCAGTAACACACTCTGGAAATCAGATGTTACTGATGTAACTTTGATTTGGACTCTCAAGCATAATTGTAGCCACTTACTCTATTTACTAACAAAAGAAATGTCATCTTCAAAACCAGTGAACTCACTTCAAAAGATTTTAAACAAAAAGACACTGCCAACACACTATTAATAAAGTAATCTCACTGCTGAAAAGCAGACAGTGAGCTTTCAAGGTAGCTTCCTCTTTTGTGCAGCTTATGTCTATTTGTCATTGTTATCAGCAAAAGCTCCCTTGCTGGCACACTGATGGTACCCAAAAGCTGACCAAATTCATAAAATATTTAGAGAAATGAAATTCTGAGCTTTACCTGAAAATATTCCTGGAATGTAAGCTGTAAAATACAGCCTAACTTAACCAGGGACCATTAATGTCTCTAGCTATTTTTATCAAATTCTGAACAAGAAAATGTTAAATAATACAAATAATGCTGGTGCAAAGAGTTTGCAAGGAAGGTAGTGTTTGAAATATGTTTAAATGAAACTTTCACTTTTGAAAGCATGAAAAATATATCAGATCCAAGATAATGGATTTAAATCTATGACCAAGTTGCTGTGCATTGCAGCTGCTGATGCAAATCCACTGGCTGCAGTCAAGTTCCCCTCATTTAGACAAAGAAACATTTGTTGTAAGAGTACATGTTTTCCTGGTAGCAAAGTTTGTTTTTCTAATAGCTCAAGTGAAAGGTGAAATGGCAGTTTCTGAAATACGTGAAATGTGTATATAAAATACAAGGAATGGTTTATTCAACCCTTCACAGATCTTTACAAATCTTTATATTCAGTTATGCAGATAAAATAGGTATATGAAATCCCAGATCAGATAAAAAATGTACCCAAAATATCTCACAGTAAATTAGCTCTTTCTTTGAGAAAAAGTAATGTCCAGGGTAAAGGATTCAAAACTTCTTGTGCTTATTTTGTTGGATTTGTTCAAACGTTTCTGAAGAAAATTGTGCATCTATTTGCAAATAACATATTTACAAAGCCTTTAGGGGTTTTACCAAAATTTGGAATGATAATAGCCTCACTCTACTCTTATCACAGTAGTATCCAAACAGAATTGTACTTTTTCCCTTTCAGTAAAAAAGTAAAGAAAATATAATGAATATTGGTTATTACAGTCCAAACCTATTCTGTAAGATAAGCTGTGCGACTTTCATTGCATGAGATCTTCATTTTGTATATAAATTGTACCTAGCAAACTCTCATTAGAATCCAGGGCTCAAAATCCAAAATGAAAATATCTGTACTTAACAATAAAACAATGTATTTTCCTCACGTCTTCTACACAGTAGCTCAGCTTAATATGGTTTCAGCATTCTCCATGTGCAGTCTATTTAGAAGCTATTACATGAGATAAGTATTTACAGTGAGATCTTTAGAGAATTATTGTGTAAAAACATAGAACTGGTGTGCTGCTGGAAATTGATATATTATCCACTATGGGGCATGTGATCAGCTGATGATTAAAAAAGAAAACTTTATATGCACTGCATTCTTCCATAGAAAGGGGGAATATGCTATTGTTTGGATAATAATACCATATGAAAAGGTTAATCATTGTCTGACATTTGCACTATTGAATGAAAACATACTTGTGCTGAGGCTGTGAATTTCCTTGATTAGAAACTCTGTTTCCTGCTGGGATCTTCTCCAATACCAAGACATCTTGGTCATGTTCTTTGAGTCTTACTGTATTTGCTTCTACATCCTGCAAGACAAGTTACTTTTAATAAAGTAATTACACCCGATTTGGCTGATTAGTTACTCCGAAAAAGTGCATGACTTTCAAACACAAAAGACTCTGGGGTTGGGTCTTTTCCCCTGTATTTATCTATCTTTATTCTGCTTTTCTCACAGGCAGAATCAAGAGGGAAGCGCTGGCACTGGGGGAAGAGGCAGAGAATTGTGGGAGGGACTAGAGCAAGAACCATGTGAAAAATCTCTGGCTATGGTAAAGGAAAAAAAGTTTGCCAATAAACAGAGCCCTCCTCCCAACCCAAACTTTCCATATGTAGTGTAATCTCTATCCTCACTTACATATGAACATTATTATCTATAATCTGACTTTTCTCTTATTAAAAAAAAAAGAAAATGGCACTTAAAAATGGTAAGTCTTAGCTCAGTAAGCTGTCAGTAAACTTTTCATTTTCTACTACCAGATCATAGTAGAAAAAGAAAAAAAGAAGAATTAAGATAATGTGCATTCAAATAACACAGATGAAAATCAGTAAAACCACGGATTTTGATCTTCTTTGAAGTATCAACCAAAGCTAAATCAGTTGGGAGTCTCCATGGGCAACCCAACCTTATTGCCAATGGGATCCTCGTTCCCTTTTATACAGTAAGCACAATCTTATGTCATTTTTTTAGCACAGTACTCTGTCTGGACTGGTTTTATTGTTGCAATACTGGGCATGTATACATTCAAATACAGGATGATACTGGTTTTGACTTCCTATATTATGAATGATCACAAAACAGCCTGTATTTACAGAATTACAGCTGGACTTTGGAACATATTTGCCCTAACTTGAATAACTGTAGAATTAGTCTGGGAATATCTTTCTAGAGCTCTCTGATAAAGACATCGTGTATTTACCTGTAGCTTATTTACCTTGCCACTTGATTCTGCCTTGAATCTATTGAGTTTAAGGCACCTGACACTGACCTATCTGGAAGAACGTGTGATCTTGTTTTATTCAATATTTGGATGGAAGACCACCCAGAAATCCTGGATAGCTTAAGGAAAAACTAAGCACTTGGCAAATTCTAGAACACAGAAATGTGAGAGACAAAAGGTTCCATTTGGTCCCATTTTCATGGCTGAGCTAGGAACAGAAAAAGAGGAAAGATGATTAATATATAATGATTACCTGATCTTCTAGACTGTCGCATCTCTGTTCTGCAACTGGGGACACTTCAAACAAGGTTATCAATATCAATATATCCATAGAAATAAGACAGACTCTAGAAAAATTTGCTAGTTCTGATATCACGCTGTCGGGGCGGCCCTTTCCACTCTTACCCTAAGGATCCTGTTGAAGTCCTCCTTGTCTACTCTCAAGAAGTGGCAGTTATCTTCACGCAGAACAATGGATGCTGCTCTGGGAGCATCATTCACAAGCGCTAACTTGCCAAAATCATCTCCTTCGTGTAGAGTACATACCACACCCTGCACACAGCAAAACATTTACATGCAGAAACCCATCATTACTCTGGATTCTATTGAGAATCCTTGTACAAACACCGGACTTCACAATCAAATACCAAAACAAATCTATTTGGCAGGAAATCAACAGCCAAAATAATGACTAGGAAACAATACTTGATAGCTGGTTATTACTATTACTAAAGAAAGGCAAGAATAGAAAAGAATTGGCTTGTTCTCTGAAATTACATTCAGCTTGAAGGACTCTTCTAGCCCTGCTGAAGACAGAAAGTTGTTGAGTTGTTTTCTTTTTATTTAGAGAGGCCCTAAAAAATAAGATCAAGTTTGCAGAAATAACATATAACACAACATCTTCAGCTGGTGTAAATCATCAGTGCTCCATTTACTCCAATTGATAGTAACAGAGGATCTGGCCCACCCAGTGATGTAAAAAATGTAGCTAAATATGGGTTACTTAGGAACAGAGTTAGCACCAGGGCCTCTGTGCTAGATTTTGGTGAAATGCTTGGTGTTCAGAATGGAGAATTCTCAGTCACTGAATGAGAAATCAATAGGGAAGTAGGGATTTTTAAAGACTCAAGGGATTGCTGTGTACCAAAGTCCTATTTTTTGCCTTGAAAAATCTCTCTTATAAACAGGAAATTTAATAGACATGCTTTTCAGTCTATAGCTTAACTAAAATGAAGAGCTGGCATAAATTTAGGAGGGGTTCACCCAACCTGAGAATCACTAGTCACAAAGCAGTACTTCTGTCAAACATGCCTGGCATGCGTGAGAAAAGTTAGTCATACAAATGCAAAAGAATATGGTGGTAAAGGAACAGGGCAAAAACCCCTATGAGACTGAAGTCTGGCAATTCACCAAATTCCAGCAAATGACTTTGTCCTAAAGATACTGATATAACTCTGCTGAATTATATTCAGAAATTGTGTAATATATCCTGAAATTATACAGCAATCAACTGGAAGTGTAATCAGTGAAACCACTGGATCATTTCTTAATAAAATTACATTCAATTTCTTTCCTCAGACAATGCAATTTTGCTCTAAATTAAACTGTATTCCGTCAAAGTTTACTCTTACAATTTCAATAATAAGAATCATATAAAAAGTTTTCTGAAAAAAATACCTTGCCATAAATGACTACGTTTACTGATCCCTTTAGGATAATGTACCAAGAAGTACCTTCTTCTCCCTGATTAAATACTACAAGAGAGAGAAAAGATTTTATGGTGAGAATATAGTTATTCAAAATATAAATGGGCCAGATTCTGCACTCAATAAAATTCAAGTTAACTCTACTGCAGTCATATTAATGTCTACCTTGAAAAAGGGCATACTATGATTTTAAAAGCAATTGCCTTCAGATTTTAGAAAAAAAACCCCACACCCATATAGCAGTTATTTTATTACACTGATGTGAAAGTTGCTTTTATTTTCCACGACAATTGCAACAACTTCTTTATCGATACATGTCAGGTTACCAATTACTAATCAGCACACAGATTTGGATCTCTCTAGTAACACCATGTTCCAACCCAATTCTCTAGTGGCTGTGAATTTGCTAAAACTTCTCCGTATAAACAGGTTTGAGTAATCTAACATTTTAAATCCTTTATTTTGTGCAGCAAGATTTTTTTTAATACAAGGATAATATTAAAATACATTTTAAATAGAGATTGGTCCAACCCAAACTTCTAGATAAAAACACACCCAAACTGTATGTGATACATATATCCAACCAAGGATATAGAATTAATTTTGGTACTGTCCCTGCAATCGGTAACAGACTAAGCCAACCCCTACTACCCCAGGTTTTAAACACTGAGTGCCAGTCAAGTTTGAAGAGTGCATCCAAGTTTTGCTCTTGTCATTTAAACATTAAGAATTTAAATGTCCATGCCACAGATGAGAAAGAAGATCTGACAGGACTCCATTTACTTACAGACCGTTCCTGCTTTGGGATGTGACTCAAAAATGAGGACACCTGCTAATTCTCGCTTTACCTTAAAATAAAGAGAAAGAAATTACAGTTTTTATATGTATCTTATTATTCCTGGTGAGAGGAAGCCACATAATATACCCAAGTCGCTGCTTTCCTTCCCTCTGCATCATTCAGCACTCATTCAGAGTCACACAGCCAGACAATGGTCTGCTTCACTTGATGTCTTATTTCCTACTGATTGGCTTTACAGAACATGAGCCTCTACATTTCCTGGCTCCAAATGGCTCAGACAAGGGCATCTTTAAAATACAGGTCTCCACGTCTTTCTTCATACATACACGTGAAACCATCATTAACAATTAACACTAACATGATGAAAAGTTTCAACTGGTAATAGCTAATCTATTAGCTATTAAGAAGATAGCTAGCAATTGTCAATTACTCCATGGGGCTCTGCCGTACTCCTGTTCTTCTCTGAGAAATCAGTACTGTTCCCCTTATTGACGTAAGTCTGGCCACTTCTGCTGTGTTAAGCTGTGAGGCACAGCCATCTGGACCTGCTGAGGCCCCTCTCCACCTGACAGCTTCCCAGGCAAATCATCCAGCTCACTACCTCTTCCAGGAGCTGGAGAATGTGACACTGCCCTTGGTGTCAGCCTGCTTCTCATTGCATTTGTATTGCTCTGGTGTGATTAGCTCTTACAACTGACTGGGCAGTTGCCTGTAGTGAGTCACTGTTTACAACTGCTTTTTCTCACTGTAAACATTGTTAGTGTTACTTTCACAAAATAGTAGCAGCACTGGGAACCTCATATTATCCTGAGTTTTCCTATGTGCTTTTTCTTACAACCGCAAGTCTTCAAGGACTTGGAGGCCAATTTCCAAGCAGTGGGATTCTTGTTTTCAGAGGATGTCAGCTGGTGACAATCCATGTTTCAGAGGTACTACCATGTAACTTGACCGTGCCAAATACAGATCAAAAGCTGGATCCAACATATATTTAGTAGTAGCAGTTTCACACCTTTCTCCCAACTGTTTGAATTGAAAAAATTTTTAGTCCATGAAATAAAACTTGGGGAGGAACTCTCAAATTCTGGACACAATCCAGATGAGGGTCTGGTGGCTGCATCTCCTAAGATGGGTGGACAAATTCAGGCTCTGATGTCCTAAAGGAACCCACCAAACCTTTGCTCAGGCACCAAGCATAAACATATCACACCAGCCACCTCTCCCACAACTCCTTCCTGACAGCCAGTGCAAAGCACTCCCTGTTTGCAATCTGGAGAAGAGGAGGGATAAATAGAGGTTTTGGACAGGTTTTTTTAGTACACTGACCAGTGAACGCGCCCACAGGCCTGTGACTTCTATAACAAGTAGCTCACCAAACTCTTTTATAACCTCTGCCTGAAGGCAATGACGCTTTCATAAGGACAGGAAAACAACCCCATCAGCACTGTTCTGCACACCGTAGAGAGCGTTCCTATCCCTGTATGTCCTCAGATGTCTTCTCAGTTGTTCCAGTCATTTGCCTCTGCAGTGAATGAATCCTCTTCATGAAGCCAAGAATCCAATTTGTTTTTAACACTGTATTATATAATTGTTTTTCATTCATACATTAACTTCACAGGCTTCTCTAGCAGGGATTAGTTCACCACCATGTGACTTGTGTTTTATCCATTTTACTTCCTGCTGCTCATGGCATATCTAGAAAACCTCAGGAATTACTGCCTTGCTTAAAATGCATAAACATTCCATTTGCTTTCAAGTCAATTGACCATTAATCTTCTGGTTCATAGGAGCAATGCTGTCTGTTGCTTCTCTGAAGATTTCCTCTAAGCTAGTCATGGTTTCTGTCCTCTGCTTTAGTTCACGCTGCACATAATAGGCTGGCATTTCCAAATTCTTACTGAAAACATGGAATCAACTGCACTTCTTCAAAATGCCAAGTATTTCTTGTGGTTTGCATCGTTTGCCATACTTGTTCTATATGCTATTTGTTGTGGATTCTAACCTGAAGTCTGAATTTCTTCTGTGCTGGAAATATTTTCTGTTTCAGATTTTTTTGTTCTGGGTTATGTCTGTAGTATCAAGAGTGTTCTTCACTCCCTCTCGGTATCTGTCTATCTTGGGTAGTTTATTTTGTTTGATTTGAAAAAGGTCATTTCTGGATCTTACAGAAGTCTGTCTTTAAATACTTTTTTCCTACATCCCAGAGACACTTAAGGATTTTGGCTGGCTGTTCCCTCTTAATTCAGTTACCAACTCTGGATGCACATTCTTTTTGAAAAACACGGCTCAGGTGTTATATGTTTGCATGGAGTACTATCTTTCTGTAATGTAGCTTCATAATTAGCTGCATCTGTCCAAATTAGCTGAGAACTATTGAAAATATCAAGAGCTTCCAAAGAAGCTGCTTTCTGACTGGCTTCCTTTTTCTGAAAGCACCCACATCTTGCTGCTACCAAGTGAAGTGTATATAGCTTGCTTCAGTTGCCTACACAGTGTGTGAACAATGGTGAGACTTTAAACAGTTGCATTCTCTCCTCCAGGCATTTTCTTCATTTCATTTATTCTTGGTTCTTTCACTGTTCTTGCCCACTCAGAGAGAAGGTGTCTGATGAGGTTTCCTTCACTCAATGACCAAACTCCAAGCAGCCAGCACTGCACAGTACACCTTTCTGCACTGTGTAATTCCTCCTCCTAAATGGTTCAAGCCAAGACTTCTTATAGTTCAGAAATCAGATGTCTACTCTGCAAAATTCAGTAGCACCACAGTCCCAGGTGTCAGGTCAGATCACATGCATCTTAATTTAAACTCAGATATGGACCCAGATGGAGGCACCTGTGCCAAGTGAGTGAGGTAGGGGCTGTGCAGAAACACATGAAAAGAATTATATCTGATATCCAAAAGACAACCTACATCTGCATAGTGTTTGGGTAGTCCTCACAGTTGGGAATAAATTCTTTGCATGGAAAGTGTAAACGGAAAGGGTTGTAGGCAATCCAATTCTAATAAAGCACCAGAAGTCAAAATTCAACCTCCCTTTTGGTCATGACTTATATTTTTAAAAATACTTACTGTGGTAGAAAGATGAGATAAGGCCTTAATGTGAAGAAGTTCTTCATATATAATTTCCAAGTCATCTACAGTTCTCTGGCCAGGCCTATGGAGAGAAGATAAAAAGGACAGCAAAATGCAATAAATGCCCAAAATAAATGCTTCAGAGAGGTACAAAACACCACAAAATGATGTTGTACTGTCTACTGAAGGGTACATCCTCACTAAACAGCGATTGAACGATGGTTCTGGCTGGAGGACTGAAACACACAAAGGATGGAAGGGCTATGAAACCACCTGAATATGACACTGAGCAGCAGCCATGGCAACCACCTTAGAGAGATCCTGATTAGGCAACTTTCCTGATAAAATCAAGTGTTCTACATGTAAAATGGTCAGATAAATCAGAAATGGTACATAAAGATCTGTTCCTTTCAAAAGGACTCCCGAGTGTGGGACCTGCACTATTTTTACATGCGGCACTAATTGTAGCAAACAGACAGTAGGAGTGGTTTGTAAAGGAGTGGGTGAATTTCTGCTGAACAAATTGGAAGAGGCAGCAGTGCATCCCGGAGGACAGTAAATGACTGCTATAGAGTTAATGGCTGTTGTTTAGCCACAAAGGTAAATAAGAATCACTCAGTAGTTTCAACATCTCTCACTGAAAAATACAAGAAGCTGCCATTAATAAAAAGCATGCATTGATAAAGGAATAATCCTCCTATAGCACAACGAGGAATGAGGCTGCCACTGTGACTGAAAAAACTGCATTTCTGTAGTCTACACACTGGAAAATTTTCTGACACAAATACTCTGAGGACTGCAGTGTGTCAGAGATGCTTTGGAGGATCTAATAAACAGTACCCAAGAGAAGGAGTTGTAGGAGCTTGTGAATAACTCCTAATCTTTTTCCCACTCACAAGATTCTCTTCAGTTAAAGTGTCTAATACAACTTTATTTTCTAAAAGGACAAATTCTCCTGTGATAGAATTTCAGACAGCGCATTGGAGTTACATACACACACACAGAAAAAATCCTTTACAGCATTATCCCAAGTTACTTTTATAGGACTAAGTCCTTTCAAACAATATGGTTTAGATTTGTGAAAAGCAGAACATAAGTAATTAAATCAATGGGCCAAGAACAGAAGAAAAGAGCAACCTAGTCATAAAAAGGGAGAGAGGATAAATTTAAGATGTGAGGAAATGGGATACAGGAAGTCCAGTCCAGGGGCAGGAGTTTCAAAGGAGAAGGTTTACACGGTCACATTAAGAACAGGCTAGTGGGCAGTTCCAAACCCCATTGTCTGCAATGCGTGGTGTCAAAAGAATTAACAGCACAGTTGAACCTTTGGACAGCCCTAAAAGAAATGCCACAATGAACCTTTCTGATAGAAGTTTTCCTCCTAAAATGTCAGTATTACAGGAGATTCTAGCATCTAGAGGATCAGGAAAGTCATATAAAGAAATATAGCGCTCTACAGGTTTTCTGCCTAATCACCTCCTGGTTCAACAGTCTGTCTAAATCATGCGTGAGGTATAGGGAATACCCAGCAATCGTGTCACTCTGGAGTTATATCACATCTTTTTGCAAAATAAGTTTGATGGAGACTTCTTTTGGATGAAGGAAGTACTGAAGAAGTCATAGAAAACCTAAGGACAACTGACATCTTCTCTGCTAAGCAAGCTATATTTTTCATCTGTTCTTCACTTACCAATGACATGCATTTATTATTACAGATTAAAGAACAATTTAGGCAAAAAATGTTTTGGATGAAATTATTCTTTTCTCATACAGAATGGAATAAACTGCTAAGGGAGAAACAGAAACTGGTTTGGTACTGCTATGCCCTCTAGTGACTCAAAATACTCTTTACTGTTTCTAAATCTGGCTTGAAATTATAAAGCTGCCACTCCTAGTGATTTATGTAGGGCAGTAGCAGCTTAATTAAATACAGAATAAAGCTAAACCAGTACTAGCTACCTGGATATTTAAGAAAGACAAGGTAAGGATATAATAATACTTCCCATAGGAAGTAACAACTTTAATTTTATTATATGCTTGCAAAACCAGCAAGCATTGGAAAATGGAAAACATAGTGTAACAAATTAACAAATTTCTACATGAAATTAAAATATAAAAGGATGATGTATTACTACATCAGATCTCTATCAAGACAAAAGGGTACACTCTTCTTTCTGTATGTCCATTTGCCTCCTGTGGTAGCACATTTGGAGGACTGACAATCTATAGTGGATGTACCCAGTCTTTACTTCTGCTTCTGCAGATGCCACGTGGAGAGATATTAGGCATCACTGCTTCTGTAAAACCTGTGTGGTGACCCACTGATGTTGATTTGTAGGATCCTGCTGTGTAAAGACCTAGTTTCTGCAGGGGACACATTCTAACAGCAATAGCTGGCTGGAGACAGGATAATAAATGGAATAGGTAGAGAACGAGGCTACACATTAAAGGACAGCAGAACTCATGTGATATTAAGTGATCAATAAAAGCTGTTCAGCGTTTGGTGAATTTATCAAGGTCAGAGACATTGAGCTTCTCTGACTAGGATGTTGACAATAACATAGTACTTTGCCATTGATAAACCATGTACGTACAAGCAATACAACCGATTATTTTTATTACACAGCTAACCAGAAAATTCTCAGATAATAAGAATAGGGGAAAAGATCACAGACCCCACAACATTGTGATTATACGTCAAATAAGCATATATTTCCAGAGTACAAATTTTGTCTTCAAGTACTATAAAGAATATATAGGAGACATGAATAATTTTACCCACTACCTGTGTCTGAGTGTGAAAGTGAAGGCATGCTCACTTACGCTAGCACGGGAGCTAATTACATAACCTTTGTACTTAAATCAGTGCTCCTTGATAACTCCATAAATACCATTTACCATACATAATACCCGTAAACATCAGTGACTGACTGATAATGTGGAAAGATAATCTGTATTTCCTGTCCCAGGAATAAATCTTGGTTTATTAAATGTCATTGGCAGAAAATTCCACCAAGGACTATGGAACTTAATAAGTCTTTATGGAGAAATCCAGTATGGTTCTTACTAGTAACAGCTGGGTGGAACATCTAAATAAAAAATTTTAAGAACAAGAGAATAAATAAGTCTTGCTTAATTTTTACAAGACCTTCAAGAAGCTATGGATTCTTAGCAATAATTAAATTGTTATTTTAATATATGTATTTTTTGTGCTGTTTATTGTTTCAGTCATACTGCTAACTTACTGTAGCCTAGAGTATTAAAAAAGAATATAATCCATAACATCATCTTAGTTAAATATTGTTGTCTGATGAATATCATTCTCCCTTTAAAGACTTCTGTTACTACTGTGTTTAGCTTTGTATTATAGCATCCTATTTAATTCGGGTTTACCGTTAAGTTAGCTATATCTGAACACCATTAAAATAAAATAAAAATAACTAGAAAAATCTTTTTTTCCTGAAGGACTGAAACACTTTTAAGGAAGAGCTGTGTTAATTCTGCAATATTTTTTCCAGGGACTTGCTCAAGGTCTGCACCTGTGCTCCCAGCATTATAAGGAGCAGAGAGCTGTGTTTGCTACTTTACAAAAAGCTATTTTCACATTCACAGTGTATGTGTTTCCAAAGAAAAAAAAAACACCCAATAGCAACAAGAGCCTGCCAAAAATTTCCCTGAGCTCTATTCTGTTTTTTAAACTATAGAACATTCTTTCACAGTTTGACAGTTAAAATGCTGCAGTTAATGTAATAAACAGAGAATTTTTTAAGTTGGCTGTCACAACAAGTGACACTTTTTGCTAGAGATTTTCAGATTTTGAACAATAGAAAGTACCTTTCAAAGCAACAGCTTCATTATACAATCAAATTATCAAAGTAATCTTCTCATCAAAGAATATTGTCTTATTTCTTTCAGGGTAATTATCTGAGTTCTGCAACCTCTCCGGAAATGGTGACTATTATAAAATGCAGCTGTGTTGGTTTGAAAATTGTGGGTCCTGCTCAGGTCAGCTAGAGCCAGTGTCTCTGAAGCCCTGAACTTTTGGCAGCTGTAACCGTGTCTAGTCAAAACTAGCAGGACTCTGAGGATTCATGGAGATTTTAACAGCTTTGATACAGCACAGCCCAGGATGGATTTTCAACTAACAAAATCATAACGCATGTAAACTGAATACTAGAACAGTAGTTAATATGGTGCCTGACAGTACAAGCTTGCTTCCATGAGCAAAGGGCAGCAAAAATAAGCACTTTCATAAAGATGTCAGATGGCTGTCAGTCTTTCCCCGCATCATATTGCATGAAAAATCTCCTACGAATATTCTTTCAGGTGATGCTGTGGAAGTGATGACACAGAGGGGAGAGCAGTACTTTCCACACATCCCGCCAGCGTAAACTGGAGATAGTGCAGAGGTGCAGGGTCACGGCACACATAGCATTGCTCAGTCTCCTAACGACTGGCGTCTGCTCATGGGTGCAAGAAGCCCTCTTTTGCTCCTTAGTGGAGAATGCACAGGACATCTCTGTGAGAAGAAAACACCTCACTTCCCTGACGCCATAAGGGTTTATGGAAGCACCATGCTCCCAGTCTGGTTTGTCTATGTATCTTGTGTGACAGGGAGTGAGTGCTCCTTTGGTTGTGTTTGACTAAACCTCTAATAAACAGAGGAAAGAGAATTTATACTTTTAAAAGTACTGCTGCATGGCAGCGTTACCCATTTTTATAAGCACAACTATATGATGGCACTTTCTGAAATTCAAAGCTTTTAGCAAGTTTTTGGAAAAGTGCCGTCTAAATGGGCTTGCGATCTAAACAGGGACAACACAGGGACAAGAATGGAGCAGGGAAAGGATACACATGGAAACAGAAACTTGTATTAAGTGGATTCAAAACATTTTTAGTACAAAAAAATGCTGTAGGCAGGGCCCAATCCTATCCCATAGCAAAGGCAAACTTTGCCAATGGCCTCAAAGGAGCAGGATCCAGCTTTGTGTACTTATCTTTCTTGAACTAACCCTTACAAGTAAATCTTCAGTGAAGATGACCTTAAACAATTCATTATTCTCAGTGTGCTTAATTAGCAGT